CGGGCATGGTGGCTCATGCCTGTAATCCACCACTTTGGGAGGCCGAGGTGGGCAGCTCAGGAGGTCAGAAGATTGAGACCATTTTGGCCAACATGGTGAAACCCTGCCTCTACTAAAAATATAAAAAATTAGTTGGGTTATGGTGGCATGTGCCTGTAATCCCAGCTACTCGGAAGGCTGAGGCAGGAGAATCCCTTGAACTAGGGAGTTGGAGGTTGCAGTGAGCCAAGGTTGTGCCACTGTACTCCAACTTGGTGACAGAGTGAGACTCCATCTAAAAAAAAAAAAAAAAAATAGACCAAGGAGGTGGAAGGAAGCTAACTAGAGGCTGTTGCAAACTAGACTGGAAATGGGGTGAAATGGTTAGACTCAATAAATACTTTTGCACTGGAACAATTAGGATCTGCTGTTGACTTGGTTATGGGAAATGAAAATCAGAAGGAATAAAAGGAGAGCCTGGTTTGGCTTGAGCCACTGGAATGGCAGTACCACTTAATGAGAAAGAGAAGACCCATCTCTCATCAGTCATCAGATGAGGGATGAGGTTGAAGAAGAAGTCAAGAATTTTTTTTGGATAAAATATGTGTGAGTTGCCTATTAGATATCTAAATAGCGATGCCAAATGGGCAGTTGCATGCATGAGTCCTGAAATCAGAGCAGAGGGCAGGCCTAGAAATTTGTCAGCATTTCCATTGTATTTTAAACCGCATAGTCGATTAGTGAGTTTAGATGGAAAAGAGAAAAAGGTTAGAACTGATCACCTGGTCACTGGTCTAATTTAGACCTGGAGGTCTAATTTAGAAGGAAGAACCTGTGAAGGAAACAGAGAAAGTGCAATTGGAAAGAGAATAGTAAAAACAGGAGAGTGTGGGGTCGTAATAGTCAAGACAAAACATGTATCTAGGAGGGATTGGGTCATTGTTTTGAATGCTTCTGAGAGTTCCAGGAAGATGAGGACAGAAATGTGTTCACTAGTTTTGGTAACTTAGAATTTGTTGGTGGTCTTGATGAGTTGTTTCAATGGAGGAGTAGAGAAAGAAATCAGATTAGGCTGCTTTTATGAGTAAAGGGATATTATATGTCTAAAATATTTTTACAATTAAAAAGAATGAATGGGAGAGGAGGAAGGAGAGTTGGCAGGTGTGGACCAGCAGTCTTTAGGGTAGGTATTTGAACACCTTGGAGTTCCCAAAGACTTTCCAGTGGAGTATGGGTAGTGTGCAGGGCAATTTCAGATTCTCAACTCCCACATGTCATTTTCTGCATTTTAGTTGGCCGAAAACATACCTGTGAGAACTTCTTTCCCCTCCATTTTTGTGATTCCATTTTGCCCACTCTAACTCCTGTTCATCCTTTAGCTCTCAGGTGTTTCTCAGGAACCTTTACAAGATCCCAAGACTAGGTCAGCATATTCTGATTACTCTCTTACAGTATTATGGATATTTTCTTTATAACACTTTTTACATATGAATTATATAGTTATTTAAAAATTACTTTCTTCATTCATTTGACAAATATTTGAGTACTGTCATTGTGCTATGTATCGTTCTGGGTGTCTGATATACATCAAATAACAAGAAAAATCCCTGGGATAGGAGAGACAAACAGTAAACATAAATAAAGAATACGCTAATTAATAGTTAGGAATGCCAAGAAAAAAGTAGACCTTGGTTAGGGATATTGGGAGTGTATAGTAGAGTCAAATTGTAATTTAAAATCAGGATGAGCCTGCTTGAGTTTTTGACTTTTGAACAGACTTTAACAGTTAAAGGAAGGACAGAGCCTGTCAGAGGGAGCAGTGAGTGCAAAGGCCTTAAGAGGGTGACTGACCTGTTGAGGGAAAGCTAAGAGGTGAGTCTGGCTGAATCGGACTGGATGAGAGAGAGAAGTATAAGAGATGAGGCCAGAGAGGTAACAGGGCTGAATCATTTAGAGCCTTCTAAGTCAGCATAAGGGCTTTGACTTTTACTGTGAATGAAAAGAGTGTTTTGAAAATTGCAAGCATGTTTTGACATCTGTTTTAAAAAGATCACTCTAGATGCTCTATTGTGAATGGCGAGATAGATTTGGGAGACTGTTAGTGTAATCCAGGCAAAAGGTAATGGTTACTTAAAGCAGTGTGACGGTCGAGGTGGTAAGTTTCAGGATATATTTTGAAAATAGGAAGAGCAGGATTTCCTGATGAGTTGGATGTAGGTGTAAGAAAAAAAGAGACTCCTATGTTTTTGGCTTGAACAACTGGCTGGATGCATATCGTGAATGAAGGCAGGATGAGTGAAGCAAGTTTAGAGGGGAAGGCCAGGAGGTCACTTGTAGATGTGTTAATAGTGGGGCAGGTAATTCAATATGCCAATAAACCAATAAAGCAAAGTACATACAACTATGGCTTTCAGTAGGATGTAAACATTTGGGAGTTATCACTATGTGCATGATGTTGAATGGTAAATACCAAGGGAATGAGTATAGGTGGAGAAGAGAAGTGTACAAAAGAGTGATACCTGGGACACTCCTGAGGAGTTGGGAAGAAAAGGAACCAGTAGGCTAGGAGGAAAAGCTTAGAGTGCCATATCTTGGATACAAAGAAGAGAGTGGAATAAGGAAGAGGGATTGAGCAACTGTGTAAAATGCTGGTTGTAGATCAAGTACAGTGACTAAGGATGAATCATGGGTGTTAGCCATGTGGAGGTTGTCGGTGACCCTGATGAATTATGTAGATGATTATTTGATGAAACTCTATTTTTCCTATTAAAGGTTCCATGATAAAAGGGACAAAATATGTTATTTCTCATCATTCTATCTCCAAAACTTAGTTCCTGGAGTGCATAAATGGGATAAATACGTAGGTCCCAGAGCCTCTGGGAAGACTAGAGAACTTGGCTCAGAAGTTACGTAGACAAGAACAATGCCTCGAATCAATCATACTCCTATATTGGTTTGGTGATGACAGTGCTGCGTGGCATAGGTATGTTAGTGTGTTACGCTGACATTACTGACACTGCTTACCACCACTGGAGCCTCTGCTGTTGGTGTGTCTGGAAGCCTGAGATGGCTGCTGCCTCTGCCATGCATTGCTGAAATTGTCTGTACATATTAATTTCCTGGCTTCTTCATGTCACAAGATTTTGTTTCAGAGTACTTGATGAGGCTCACACCTGTAATCTCAGCACATTGGGCGGCTAACCCTAACCCTAACCCTAACCTTATATACCAGTTACTAAAATTTTGCCACACTTCCTTCATGTATCCTTTTTTCTTTTTCCTCTTTTCTTTACCAAAGATTTTAAAGCAAATTCCTGGCATGATGTCATTTTCTTCTGCAGATTTTAATATGCATCTCTAAAATTTAGGGACATTTTCTTTCATAACGACAATGGTGTTATCACAACAACTAAACCTAATAATAATACAAAAAAGGCATTTGAACCTAGACTCTCAAGGAAGTGGTCTTCCCTTAGCAGCTATGGCAAAGGGCTTAAGGATCAGGAGCATGCTTATTGTATTTGAGGAGCAGCAAGGAGTCCAGGGTGGCTAAAGCATGGTGACGGAGGGAAGGGCAAGAAGAGATGAGACCTTGCAGGCTACTGAGAGGACTTTGGCTCTACTTTGAGTTGAATGGTGAACTATGACGGGATTTTCAACAGAGCACCGACACAGACAACTTTATGTTTGAAAGGGTCACTTTAAGTGCTCCATTAAGAATACACTGTAGTGGAGCAAGATGAAGCTCAGTTAGAAGGTTGTTATGGATTAAAAGGTGTATTTTTGTTTAGTGGCTCATTCCAGGTGGTGGCAGTGGAGATGGCAGGAAGTGCTTGGATTTTGGGTATGATTTGAAGCTAGAGCTAACTGGATTTCCTGACTGTGGCTTGAGAGTGAAAGGAAGGCATTAAGAAGACTCACAGGTTTTTGGCCTGAGTAACAGGAAGGATGGAGCAAGTTTGGGGGCACCATCAGGAGTTGAGTCCTTCTCTTTTTTTTTTGTAGAGGTGACGTCTTACCATGTTGCCCAGGCTGGTCTTGAACTCCTGGGCTAAAATGATCTTCCAACCTTGGCCTCCCAAAGTTCTGGGATTACAGGTGTGAGCTATCACACTTGGCCAGGAGTTGAGTTTTGAGCACAAAGAGTTTGAAATGTTTGTTGAACTTGAAAGTGGAATAACTAGGTGGATAGTTAAAGCTGGAGGTAGGGAGAGAGGTAGCAGAAAGCATTCATTTCTGTATTCCCTGGGTTCCCGAGAGCCTGTTCCCAGGGTGCTTTGAAAGTACTGACTGATTTATTTAGAGACATTCAGAGTCTGACAAGAAAATCACTGAGGTGGTTTGGTAACTTGGAAGACTCTGATATCCCTTCTTTCCTTTTCTATCCTGAACTCAGTAAAATTTGGGTTAAAAAAAAAAAAAAAGTTTTTCTGATATTTTCTGAACCTGAACTACTTAGGAAGCTTGTTCAACAGTGTCATCTTTTTCTTCCTAACTGTAGCACCACTTGAAAGAGATCTTCATGTAACCATGTGGTTGTTACTCTAGGGTGGATCCCGTGGAAGGGATGTTGTCAACACAGATTGCTTTCCATAACTTTGTGCAATGAAGACTGATCGTGATGGTGTTTATTTCTCCTTTGAAAAGGGAGCATTTCTAATCCCCTTTTTGGGTCATTTGGAATTCTGATTACATATCTTGGAGTCGTGTGGAAGATTTGACACACAACCTGGGGATGTGAAACAGTAGTTTCAACTGTTATGGTAGCTGGCGTCTGTGTGACTGATTTTAAATAACTAGGTGTTCAGAGATAGGGATCTTTCTATGCATGGATGGTTGAGTGAGCCTGAATGCAGTCTGTGGATTTCCTGATTCACAGGGAACTGTTGGTAACACAGAGGGGTCAGTGTCTTATAAGGCTGTAATGATCTTTTGCATACAACTGCCTCTCTCCCCTTTCAAAAAAAAAAAATGAGAGTGAGCAGGAGAGCACTGAATCTGTTTTTGCCTCTTTTGTATAGGAGATGCATCGAAGGTTTGAGAATGCTCCCGATTCTGCCAAAACAAAAGCTCTGCAAACTGTTATTGAGATGAAGGTAAGTGAGAATCTAGGAAAGAATTGTATGAATCACCTTATTATTTTAAGTAATCAAAAACTTCTCTGTGTGAGTGTTAGGAAATGGCATGTAATAGTATTTCACTAATTTGGAGATTGAGAGTGAGAATCAATGAAAATGACAAAATAATTTCAATTTTATTTCCTTTCACTTATAGAGCATAATGTAAATTGGACCAAAATGAGTTGAACAGAATTTCTTTAAATTGGCTGTTTGCAAATTTCTTGGTCTCAGGACCTCTTTATTCTCTTAAAGTGGCAGACTTCCTTTATTTTAAGAAAATGGCTGCCAAATACCAAATCTGGGTAACCATAGCTTGTCAGTTGTTCTTTCAAGTAAAAATAGTGTTCCGTGAAGAAAATATTGAATTCAGCTTACAACTCAAAGCAACACACAAGTACTTTGCTTAGGGATAACCGTCGTATTTCAGTATGCAGCCTCATGCCATTTTATCACACCCAATATTAACAGTATGTGTACTCCAGAGTTGAGATTTATTAAAAGTAATACTTGTTGCTGCTTCCTCACGGACAGTCTGAAGTGGTCTTTTAAAAATTTTATTTCTTATTTTCCATTTTTTTTTTCCTTCAAGTGCCTGACAGTGACAAATGTTAATAAAATGACTACAAGTATGGTTTGATGTGATTGCCTTGATTTGTGCTAAGGCAGTAGCAGTTTTGCCCATCATTGCTTTGTATCTTTATTTTAGACAGTGGAGAAGTCAATTGGCATCATGGTATTATTATGAAAATAGTTCATAAAAGTATGATTATAAAAGTATAAAATAGTTCATAAAAGTATAAAAATAGTTCACAAATTATGATCATGCATACTTTGTGAAAGGGCTGAGGGTACCCTGAGGGTTTCATAGGCCATCCTTTGAAAATCTCTGCTTTAAGTTAATGAACATTTAGAAATCTTTAGGCTGTTCAGTATAGTGATTAAGAGCTTGCTTTCTAAGTTAAACTCCCTGGATTCAAAATCTCACTTCACTTAACCGATTGTAAAATACAGAGCAAGTTACCTGTGCCTCAGTTTCTTTATCAACAAATGGTGATAGTAATAGTACCGTCCAAGTGGGTCATTTTGAGATTTCAATTAGTTAAAATATGTAAAAACACTTTAAACAGGACCTAGTGCATAGTAAACATTCAATCCATACTAGCTGCTGCTGCTATTATTATTTTTGTTGACAATCTGTTCTTTCTCATAAAAGCTCTTGTAGATAGGGGCATCCCCCCACAGGCACTTCATATCCCCTAGAAAGCTCAGTACTGTGTTTTGCATTGTGGGCCTCCATTTAATAGCTGTTGATATGACAAGAATATTTAGTTAATGGTATGTAATTTTATTGTAAATAGGTACTTCTGAAGTAGTTATGGGAACTATTAATTTGCATGATTTCCTCTTAAAAACTTTAAAATATTGAATACATTTTTATTCTTGGCGGGGAAAGGATTTACCAAACAAATTCCAAATTAGTGGATTCTGGGTTCTTTGTAGTTAATTAGTAGTCTTGAGTATCATCTTGTAAAGGGCCTTTAGGATGGTTCACTTGCATGGTTTTACCTTTTTCACATTCACCACAAGTTTATTTGTCATATTATTTCCTGATCCCTGTTAAAACCTCAGAATAAAACACATGAATGTACCTATGTTAACAAAATTATTTATTTAACCACCTTTTGACAGAATGAGGGAAATAATAGTATTACTTGGCAGTGGATGTATTTTAACTTGGGTGAACCTTCAGCTATTATACTAAGAAGCAAAAAGATTCTAGTGGCCCAGTGGGGTCAAGAGGATGTGATGCTGAAATCACAACAGAAATAGCTGTGTTGCTATATGAGAATGTGGAATGCACTTGAGAGAATTGGGAAAATCTTGAATAGTCTTTAGGGAAAATAAGGAAGAAAGATGATTGAAGTAAAAGCGCCCAGTAATCTTAAAGGTGTCGAAATTTTCTTTTTTCTCTCCTCTTTCTCTTCTTCTTTCTCTTCCTCTTCCTCCTCTTTTTTTCTTCTTATCCCTTCTCCCAGCATTTTCCCTCATTCCAGCCTTTCCTTCTTTACCCCTCTTCTTCTCTTTCTCCTCTTCCCCCTTTTCTACTTTTGTTTGTTTGTTTTTTCTTTACCAGTGGAGGAACAGGGAATAATTACTGTACTGCTCTAGGGTTAGAGTTTTGTTGGGGTAGATAAGGCAGAGTGATTGAGATGCAAATGAATTGAGGGTGATGATGACAGAGTAGTTTGGAGGTTGGTCCTGAACTGTACCCTGAATGTGGAAAAAAGAAAATGCAGGTGGACGGACAGGTTGGGAGAAAATGTAACAGTTAGGAAAGTGGAGTTCTCTGTGAGTTTGAAGAACAGGAAATAATCAGAGTGAGGATATGACATGCCTGGGGAAGAGAGTTCTGGGTGATGATAGGATCCAGAGTACTGTCCTATAAACTGGATCACTGAAATGGACTGAAAGATGAGGTCATTGCAATTAAGGGCGTCAAGGAATTCTGACATTGCAATCCTAGGATTATGGCAAGAGTGACAATTGAAGGGGATATTCTAAGTCAGGTGCCAAAGACTACCAAAAGTGGGCAGGAGTGATTGAGAAGCCCCTGGATGGCAGCAATGAGGAGGGTAGGGCGAAAAGGAATATGAGCTTTCCATAAAGGGAAACAGCCTTGAGGAACAAACCGAGAGAACTTCAACCCTTTCCCCTGCTCCTTTGTGGTGTTGGGGTATTACTGGCCTTCACTGGAGAGAGTTCATGGGGAAAAGGTTGAGGAGTTGGGGGAATTTGACAAAGAGCAGAGGATTTCAGTAAGTCCAGTGGGATTGGTTGGACAATGATGGGAGAGCTGGGGCTGGGGAAGTACAGTGTAGTAAAGTGAAAAGGAATTTATTTATTTAAATATTACACATTCAAGGAGGAAGAAACTTTGTTGGAATGACTTTCCTCAAATCTAGCATTAGTACTAATTGGGTTGATGCTAGAACTAGTTGAGAGTATCAGGCCTTTTGATTTCCTTGGTAGGTTCTTTTTCTGGTCAGTCAGTACCTACCTCCTGGTTTTCAGAGCGGCAGTCATAATCCCTTTTTGGGAAGAAGGTTTTATGGCACATGATTTGGTAGTGAGGGTGCTAATTTCTCAAGAGCTGCCTTTGTCTCCGTTTGGGTTAGGGGAGAAGATAATATTTTTTAAGGGCCTTGTGGAGACTTTCTAGAGGCTCTGTACAGATAGAGGCTGCCATGTGATATACAGAATTGGAGTTCCTACTTGGGGGCTAAATTGTCTTGGGTGGAGCCCCAGACCTGCTGAAGGTAGACCTGTCTTTCAGCTGGTCCAGTTTTATTACCACCCAGGGTAATGACAGAGGAGAACTTATATTTCACTTTCACTTTCTTTCTTTTGTAGGCTGGTCATATGCTTATGCCTAGTATTTCAGTCTTTTTAAAGGGACTGTGTTCTGATATTTCCAGAGAAATTTTATAGCAATCTTAAAAGTGAATTTTCAGGTAGTGCACATGAAGTAGAGTACTCTTTATAGGTCAGTTGTTTTACATGAGTAAATCAAAACCCACCCTGGTTTAGGTTTAGAATGTCTCTGATTGTATTAATTCAATACAATGGATTTGGAACAGATACATTTTAAGTTTAATTTTAATAAATTTGTAAAAGGAAATTTTCATTGTGATATTTTTAAAGATCATGTGATGAGCAAGACAGAGGAATAAATCCTCTCTTCTCCCCTCCCTTGAACCTGAAAATAGCTAGGTGTAGTTTTCTCAAGATAAATCCTCAAACTCTTTTATCATCATGCTCTGAGAATTACGATAGAGAGGAGGAGACTTAGTCAAGAAATCATTGAGGTAAAGTAGAAAAGGAAGTTAATCTCAAAATAGCTTCCAAAGGAACGGTTTCTCTAAAACACCAAGTAAAATAAAGCTATACTTAATTTATGTTCTTTAAAGTCTCTGTTTCTTCAATGAGTAAGCATATACAACTGCAGGTATATAAAACTATTCATTCCATGTAGGGGTCTTTCTGTAATTCATGACATGTAAAGCAGTCTGGGGAGAAACTAGGTACTGCAACAAACAAAATCAAGAAATTGAATATGAAATAATGTTCTACTAGAAGGTGATATTTGTGGTAGTGTTGATGATTTATAAGGACATTGATTTTAAAAAATTACAAATTGCTTTAAATGTATAGAGAAGTATAGACAGTAAGGATTTCTAACATGTTAAAAGTAACAACTTATTTATTCCCTCATTTTTCTGCAATGGGATGTTAGGTAATTTTTATTATTGCACATATAGCTGTACACATTACTGTATAAATCTTTGAAACCCTCTTACTCTTTTCCCTTCCTTTGGGGCATAATATGCTTTTTAGGGGTCACCAAGTAAAATGATAAAATATTAGAATTTGCAGATTTTTTCATGCAAAGAAATTCTAATCAGTTTTTCATTGCATTTACTTCTTTAGTTAATTATTTCAACTTTAAGGGATGCAAAACTGGAGGCAGCCATGGAGGCAAAATTATACTGTGGATATGAGTGCTTCTCCTTCTACTCAAATGGCTGTAAAGCTGGGCATGGTGGCTCATGCCCGTAATTAAGCCCAGCACTTTGGGAGACTGAGGCGGGTGGATCACTTGAGGTCAGGAGTTCGAGACTAGCCTGGCCAACATGGCAAAACCCTGTCTCTACTAAAAAAATGCAAAAATTAGCCGGGCGTGGTGGTACACACTTGTTGTAATCCCAGCTACTTGGGAGGCTGAGGCAGGAGAATCGCTTCATCCTGGGTAGCAGAGGTTGCAGTGAGCCAGGATGACGCCACTGCACTCCAGCCTGCGTGACAGAGGAAGACTCCATCTCAGAAAAAGACAGCAAGGCACGAATTGCCAGACAGCAATTTTTCTGTATATTTGTTTATCTTTATTAAATGTAACATCTTTAAATATTATGTTATTCAGCTTTTCTGGGTTTTTGTGAATAGTTCAATCACTAAATCTCCATTGTCTTCAGGATTCAAAAATTTCCTCTATGGAGCGTGGTCTTCGAGACCTGGAAGAGGAAATTCAGATGCTGAAATCGAATGGGGCTTTGAGTACTGAGGAACGGGAAGAAGAAATGAAGCAAATGGAGGTGTATCGGAGCCATTCTAAATTTATGAAAAATAAGGTAATGGCATGTAAGACTTTGATTCTTAAAAGGGATTTGAAAATTTGATGCATATTTTTTACTTCTCTAGTGATGATAAAGCTGTATTTTATACTGTTTTATCAGACTTCAGGGAAGAATACTTCTAGCATAATTCTTTCAAATGAAACTTCTCCAGAATTAAAGTCAGATTTACTGACATAGTTATTATAAGTTTTTACTTAAAAAGACAATTCTCTCTATGAGACTGCATATGTATTGACACAGTTTAACTTTTCATATCTATTAGTACTTCGAAATGATTTAATTTAAACTTCAGATGAGTTTTTCTCACTATATGAAACATCAAGTTCTTTACCTCTTGTGAATTATTTAAAAAATTAAAACCCAAAGAGGATCTTTTTTTTTTTTTTTTTTTTTTTTTTTTTTTTTTTNTTTTTTTTTTTTTTTTTTTTTTTTTTTTTTTTTTTCCTTGAGACGGAATTTTGCTCTTGTCACCCAGTCTGGATCACCCAGTGGCATGATCTCGGCTCACTGCAACCTCTGCCTTCTAGGTTCAAGTGATTTTCAGCATCCTGAGTAGCTGGGATTACAAGTGCGCACCACTGTGCCTGGCTAATTTTTTGTATTTTTGGTGGAGATGGGGTTTCACCATGTTGGCCAGGCTGGTGTTGAACTTCTGACCTCAGGTGATCTACCCACCTTGGCCTCCCAAAGTGCTGAGGTGACAGGTATGAGCCACCTTGCCCGACCCTAAGAGGCTTTTTAATGAAATGGGTTAAATGAAATTATGTTCCCCCTCCAAATACAGTTCTGTAAAGGAAAGCCCTTTCTTTGCCCTATCCTGTGGGGAAGATCCACTTGCTGTCAGTTTTATTGCTTCTCATGTGCACTTCAGGAGTAATATGACAAAAATAGGTACCACCGGGACCTATCAGTCTGTGTTTGTAAAATCAGTCACAAAATTCCTTCCTTGCATCCAAAGTCATTTAGTTTGATTCTCTAAACTATTGAGGCAAGTTGGAGGATTTAGTTTATCACTGTTAAAATTTACCCATTTTATTGTAGTTTAATTAAACATCATGAATGCAATTATAAAGTTTTATCTAGAAAATAAGTGTTTTCCCCCTTTATTTCCCAGTTGTATTCTTCAAGTTCTTAGAAATGAAAATGGAAACATCCCAGTAATGTGAAGGAATGATAAGCATAACTTCCCCTCCAGTTTCTGGCTTCTTGCCACGATACCCATACCTGGCATATAAGTCTACAGAATATTCCTCTACTACCTTGAGACTCTATTATTAATCATTTCTACTAATTTCATTTCAGTTTTAGAACGTAAAAACTCATATATCCAACTTACTTTCTTTTATTCTGTGTTTTTTTGAGACGGAGTTTCGCTTTGTTACCCAGGCTGGAGTGCAGTGGTATGATCTCGGCTCACTGCAGCTTTCATCTCCAGGGTTCAAGCAATTCTCCTGCTTCAGTCTCCCGAGTAGCTGGGATTACAGGTGCCCACTACCATGCCCAGCTAATTTGTATAGTTTTAGTAGAGTAGAGACAGGTTTCATTATGATGGCAAGGCAGGTCTCGAACTCCAAATGATTCTCCCGCCTTGACCTCCCAAAGTGCTGGGATTACAGGTGTGAGCTGCAGCGCCTGGCCTCACATACCCAACTTTATGTTAGTTTGGATTTTTCACCCTAATTTGAGAATAAAACATAGTGCAGTATAATCTCTGTGTTTATGATTTTCATTTGTCGATTAGCACATTACACTCCACTGTGGGGGAAAATAAACGTGTGAACGTAGAGAAACTACCTATGGCTCTTTAAAGAGGGAGGGAATGAGGGGAACAGATTTGATTGTATTATATAAGTTACTGTTATTTCCGGTTACCATTCTGGCTCAAAAGCAGATAATAAGAAGACCTAAGTTGATATCTAAGTGAAAAAAAATAATAATGTCGTGACAGGTAGAACAACTGAAGGAGGAACTAAGTTCGAAAGAGGCTCAAGGGGAGGAGCTGAAAAAGAGAGCGGCTGGTCTTCAGGCTGAGGTCTTTGCCGTAAGATTTACCTCTCTGTATGCAGTGATCCTGCAGTGGGACCCTGCTAGCTCTATGGCTTCTGGGTGGCTTACACTTTCATTCTCTATGGTTGGCAGCTTTGCCCATTACTAGCACTAACCAGCCTGCTCTGCTCTTTAACTGACTTCTGTTCACCAGTTTGACCCACATGTCACTTTGTGTGCAGTGAGCCTTCACATGTTCTGGAAGCCTTATTATATCTGGTACTTTATTGTTGCTTTTGTCACTCTATGGATGGCATTTCAAAGCTTGTTTTTTCTCAACCCCTTATTGTTGATTTATATGAATGGTGGTCTTCTTTTCATCCTAGGTACAAGAATATATTCAGTTGTTCTAGGCCTATCACTTAGAGTTTATTTGAATTTGAAGCTCTTGAGTAAAGTGATTTGCCTTCTTATGTAGATGTTACCTTTAAATCTCCAGTGAGTGATTTTGCCACAAATGTTACTTTCTTTAGGACAGATGTATAGAAAGTATCTAGTAAATTAAAATTACTAAGAGACTTACTTCAGGTATCTAAATCTAGTTCAATATTGTAATGAGTTTAAAATTTTATTTCAGAGCATAATAATAAAATAAATACAGTTGGCCCTCCATATCTGTGAGTTTTGCATCTGTGGATTTAACCAACTGTTTTTTATTTTCAGGGTAAAAAAACCGGATGTTGTATCTGTACTGAACATGTACAGGCTTTTTTCCTTTGTCATTATTCCCTAAACAATACAGTACGAAAACTATTTACATAGCATTTACATTGTATTAGGTATTACAAGTAATCTAGAGATGATTTAAAGTATACTGGAAGCTATGCATAGGTTATGTGAAAATACTACATCATTTTATATCAGGGACTTCACCATTAATTAATTTTGATATCCAAGACCAGTCCCTCATGGACCCATGGATGCCAAGGGATAGATGAATAATAAAATAGCTAATACTTGCACACTTACTATAAACATTTTATAACGTGCCGAGTTAGACATATTTTCAACTCCAAATTATAGATGAGGAAACTGAGGTAACAGAATGGTGCCTGGGAAAACACAGCTAGTAAGAGGCAGGATTTGGTTTTATATAAGCAGTCTTCTTCCACAAACTGTGCTTGTAAGTTCTTTACTATATACTTACCTATACTAGGTGGTGCACACATTTATCAAAGTGTCAGCAAAAACTGCGTCTGAAAATAATTGTGGGCTAAGAGCTGGAATACGGCATTTAAAAAACCAAACTTGTGCTATTTTGGTAGATTTATTGTTTATGGTCTACTTTGTAGTATATATTAAAGAATGAAATATTTTGATAGAAAGGTCTAATTTGGTTTATGGAAACCATATATTGTCTAGAGGGGAGGTTGATCGATAACTTCCTTTTTTAAATAGCTACTGTTAGTGTCAGACAACAGGCTAAGCACATTTCATACTTTATTTTATTGAATCCATGAACAGTACAGTGGCATTGGTATAATTTCTCCTTATTACTGATTAGGAAACTGAATAGGAAGGGAATTATTCAGGGACACATAGCTAGCTTAGTTCTGATTTGTGATTGTCTGCAGATCCTCGTGCTCCTAAGCTTTGTATTGTATTTGCTTCCTATTTATAATCTCTTCCCTGCTCAGTCTTTAAGGAAAATTTGTGCTTCTAAACTCTGCCTTTTTTTTTTTTTTTTTTTTTTNTTTTTGAGATGGAGTCTTGCTCTGTAGTATGATCTCGGCTCACAGCAACCTCTGACTCCCTGGTTCAAGTGATTCTCCTGACTCAGCCTCCAGAGTAGCTGGGATTACAGGCAGGCGCCACCACGCCCAGCTAATTTTTGTATTTTTAGTAGAGATGGAGTTTCACCATGTTGGCCAGGATGTCCTCGATCTCCTGACCTCGTGATACACCCACCTTGGCCTCCCAAAGTGCTGGGATTACAGGCGTGAGCCACCGTGCCTGGCCTAAACTCTGCTTTTCGTTTACAGTATTTTCTTTCCTTTCTTAGTGTTTAAGGTCAATATAGCTTATTATTTGAAGCTTACTTAATAATACAGATGATTATGAAACAGATTTTTATATTTATTTTTGACCACATGATTGGAGGTAGCTGAGAATTTGAATAATCTTTAAGTCATAATTCCTTAGCTGTGAGAAAATGGTAACACTTTGAACATCCCCCAAATATTCGTTCATCCAACAAATGCATTTGTGTTATAATCAGTGTGTTAGGGAATGGAATAATAGTAATATGTGGTTTTTATTGGTAAAGGGATATCATAAAAGACTCCACGTTGTTACAGTGTTTGGTAACTCCTGGGTACATACCTATTTTGCAGGATGAATATAGCCACCATTTACAATTATCTTCCACTTACGTTTTTAGTATTCTCAGATACTTTGTATACAATAAGTGTACAGAAACATTTGTTGAATAAATGAATATATCTCTAAGCAAAGATTTCATGTATATGAGAAAAATAGTTATCTTTTTTGAAAGAGAAGACTAAATTGGAAATTTATTTTTAGTGCTCCTCAAAAGTCTTAATTTTCATGAATGTAAAATTTATTTCTTCATGGGAAATTGTTCTTAAAAGCTTTATCCCTTATACCTAACATTATTGCAGTTATAATACTTTATATACATTCAAGTTTTTAAAAATAAAAAGATAACTTTTTGTTTCCTTAGTGACACCGAAATTACTGACTTCTTGTCAAATTTATGCTTCTAATAATTAATATATTTTTTAGTTCCTTGCTAAGTTGTAGACATAATGTAAAAGCAGATTTCTGTTTACTTGGCTTATATTTAGGGTAAAAAACTATTTAAAAAATTCTTACAAGTAGTAGGAATGTAAATAATGTGTTTGAAAGAAAATACTTTAAATGTTAAGAGAGAAATTAATACACATAACATCAAATTATAGGATTTTACAAAAGCACATATGTATAACATTAAAAGTAGCTCTTTAAGATAATTTTATGCAGACTTTTGAGAATGAAAAATATAACTTAATGAAAAATAAGCACAGCAGCAGATTTTGAATTTAAATAGTAGTACCAGGAAGTTTCTTTTTTCCCCTCTTCTGTTATATCTACACTCATCCTGCATTTGATCCATCTGAAGTGTTCTGAAGAGGTCTCACCTAAAAAAATGAAAACTATCTTATCAGTACAGTGGTGTTCTTTTGCTTACTGCTGTCTCATTGTCATCTAATTGAATTGCAATTTTCTTTCCCTTCATTCTCTTTCTAAGGCGTTTCAAAGAATATTTAGAAGACATAATAAATGAAAACTGGACATTTCCCTTTTTGTTGAATAAGCATAGTTTTTTTTTTTGCGGGGGAGGGGTCCAAGATTAGGTGGATGCAAAAAGGTGAATATGTTCTATCATATCATTTGTGCTGCATTTAGTTTCATATTTTGTGACTCACCCCTGTCAAAGATCCACATAAGAGTTGCTTATTTTACTTCTTTTTTCCTTAAAGTGTTTTACTTCTTTTCTAGATTGGCCAGGTGAAACAGGAACTGTCCAGAAAGGACACAGAATTACTTGCCCTGCAGACAAAGCTAGAAACACTCACAAACCAGTTCTCAGATAGTAAACAGCACATTGAAGTGCTGAAGGAGTCCTTGACTGCCAAGGAGCAGAGGGCTGCCATCCTGCAGACTGAGGTAAAAAGAATTCTGGGATTTGTGGGGAGTTGATTTCTTGGCACCTTTTCATAAGCATTACCTGTTCTATTTTTGTTATATTTAGAATTGGGAAATATGAGTAATCTCATGATTAATTCTTTAGCAGCATGATAAGTTATTGTACTAAAATGTAACCATCTTGTTTCAGTTTTTCCTAGATCTAACAAGTTAAAATGGGTGCAGTTTGTTTGTTTTTAATTATTTAAACTTTCACTGAGTCTGTACTTGAAACTATAAAACTAACAGTATTAAAAATGAAAAGATAATTGTAAAAGAGAAATCATTGATTTAGAAGCTTCATGAATGACAATGAGCTTGGTTATGCTGCATTTGGAGTACATTTAAGTGTTCTTAAGTTGTGATACTATGAATAACTGTGTATAGGAAACTGGAATATATTAAAGTTCTAGAGAGTCTAATTTTAAACCACAGATATTAGACAATGTGTCGTTATATCCTGTTTGAAAATAAAGTTAGTGGTTTTAGAAATCTTAGAAGATTATCTAGACTGTTGGCTGCGACTTCAGATAGGTGTTGACCATCTTCGGATAGGCATATGACTTCAGGTAGATATTCAGTGTATTGCTAAATAATCCCAGGTGGATTCTTACTTATCTTATTTTCAATGATCAGAGAGAAAGAGTTGATGATGCTATGTGGATTTACTGTCTTAATATGAAATTTTTTTTAAAGGTCACAGTGAAATAGGTAATTTAAGAATAGATAAGTAGTTTTGCTTTATAGAAGAAACATAAAGCATATGATGTAGATTAGCTTTTTTTCTTTAAAGAAACAGATAATAGATAAGAGCATAATTTGATGGAAAAAAGGAATGAGGAGGAAAAGAAAGAATAAAAACATCATAGTCTTAGAAGACAAGAATCTTTAAGTAAGGAAGAAAGAAGAAGGAACCTAAACTGTTTCATGTAGTATTTTTATCTGTACAATTTGGGGCTTTGATAAAAATGGGAGATTTTAGATGACATATTTGTAATTTTTCTTATAACAGACACTTTCTCTATTTTAGTTATGTTTCATTTTGTTATGATATCAGCTCCATTCTATCTCACAGAGATATTTTGGATATAAAATCATGAGATGCAGTAGCGTCTAAGGCTCTGACTCTAGAGTCATGTTAGAGTTTGGACTTCATCTTTACCATTTACTACAAGTCGCATGGTCCTGGGAATATATTTAACTTCATTACGCCTCACTTTTCACATCTGTAAGATGAAGAGAATAGTAGTGCTTAACTCATAAGTTTGTTGTTAGAATTAAACTCATTTCTTCACTGCTAGTGTTTGGCACATAGTAAGTCTTTGGACATTCGTCTTTGCCATCATTTTATAATTCTTGTAATAAAATCAACTAATAGATATGCTGTCGAGATGTTAAGAGAACAGTTTTCTCTTTCATTGTCACAGTTTTGTTTAGAAGATCTGCTTTTTCATATTTTTATTAAGCTAAACTTAGGTTTATTCAGAAATTCCAAATATAAAATTATCTAGAAAATGTTACCTGCAAAGTTACTCATTTATAGCTTTATTAATTTTAAAAATTTTTTGTGGGTACATAGTAGGTATATTTATGGGGCATGTGAGATATTTAATACAGGCATTCAATGTGAAATAAATAAATTATGGAGAATGGGGGTATCCATCCCCTCAAACGTGTGTCCTTTGAGTTACAAACAATCCAATTACACTCTTTATTTTAAAATGTAAAAGCTTGAGTGCATGTAATACTGCAAAAGGGTCAGAAGAGGGTGCCAGTGTTCTAGAGGCCAGCCCTACTTCCAAATTTGCTACTGTAATAGCTTTGGATGGAGGTGGCAGGTGTGCAAACCAGAGAACCAAGCAGTTGGTTAATGATAATGCAAACATTTAAAAGCTTGTCACAGTCTAATAAATGACTTTTCCCCCTTGGCAATCTATCCTTCTCTTTGTACCTCTCAAATAATGTTCTTATTAGCCAGGTCTCACCCAGATGGGCTTGTGATTGGTTTCTTGTGCCATAGAGAATAGATTGTATTTGTTGTCATTCTTGAATGGTTTTTATATTTGTTTTTAGGCATTACAAGAGTAGCTGAGTCTCATGATTATTTCTGTAAGTTACTGGGGCCACTGCACAAATAGAACCATATGATCATAAAAAAGAAAAGAATGAAAGCTAACTTCCTTTTGAATTTGGAATGATTTTAAGAATGTCATATGTCTGTTTATCAGCATTACTTAAAAAATTACTCTGATGACACTTGACAAGAGTCCCCTTTTCCAAAGCAACTTTCCAATGTTAGAGCCCAGTAAAAGGCAGTTTGTGCCAACTCTTTGAAAGTTTTCATGTATTTTTATAATTCGCTCTTAGCTGATTTCATCCTCTTTTCTGTAGCTATCCTAGACTTGGTTCTAATACTCAGATCACTAAATTAAGTAAATGTGGAAAAAGAACATGGATCATGGAGTTCATTTTTTTTTTTTTTTTTTAAGAGATAGACTCTTACTCTGTCACTTAAGCTGGAGTGCAGTGGCATGACTATATTAATAGCTTATTGCAGCCTTGAACTCTTAGGATCAAACACTCCTCCTGCCTCAGCCTCCCAAGTAGTAAAAACTATAGGCATGCACCATCACACTTGGTTAATGTTTAAATTTTTTTTTGCAGAGACAGGGTCTCACTATGTTGTCCAGATTGGTCTAGAACTCCTGAGCTCAAGCAGTTCTCCAGCCTCTGCCTCCCAAAGTGCTAGGATTATAGATGTGAGCCACTGTGCCTAACCAGGAGTTTAAAAAATTTTTTAAATTCTTTAAGTAAAACAATTATATGTGAAAAGATCTAATTTTTTTTTTTTCTATTTGGGCTACATGGACTGAGGTCCTTTGGTGTTGTACAAGGTACGATATATATGAATCGTTCCTGTTTTGTAATCATCTCTTTTGATCTGATGATTGTCACAGTGGTAGTCTGGATTTACTAACATAGTGGTTAAAAGCATGATCTTTGGAGTCAGACATAGTCTTGAAACCCAACCCTCTACCATTACTGGTTGTGTGACCTTAGAGGAGTTACTTTACTTTTTTTGTTGTTAAGACAGAGTTTCGCTCTTGTTTCCCAGGCCGGAGCACAGTGGTGTGATCTTGGCTCACCGCAACCTCCGCCTCCTTTGTTCAAGGAATTCTGTCTCAGCCTCCCGAGTAGCAGGGATTACTGGCATGCCCTACCACACCTGGCTAATTTTGTATTTTTAGTAGAGACGGGATGTCTCCGTGTTGGTCAGGCTGGTCTCAAACTCCCGACCTCAGGTGATCCACCCACCTCGGCCTCCCAAAGTGCTGGGATTACAGGCATGAGTCACCGTGCTCGGCCAAGCGATACTTTACTTCCTTTTCTCCCCCCCGAGACGGAGTCTCGCTCTGTCGCCGAGGCTGGAGTGCAGTGGCACAGTCTTGGCTCACTGCAACCTCAGCCCCCTGGGTTCAAGCGATTCTCCTGCCTCAGCCTCCTGAGTAGCTGGGATTACAGGTATATGCCACCATGCCTGGCTAATTTTTTGTATTTTTAGTAGAGATGGGATTTTACTGTGTTAGCCAGGATGGTCTCCATCTCCTGGCTTTTGGAGTGCTCCTTCCTCTTTCAGCTTCCTCTCTATACCTGGGGCAGAGCATTTGTTGTAGCAGTGGTACAGATGATTATACCAGAGGCTTTCTGATCTGGAAGGCTTCCTTCCTGCCACAACCACTGCCCCAGCTCCAGATGGTGAGTTGACACTGCTTACAGTGGTGATGGAGTAATGTCCTGTTTGCAGGAAGATGTAGATAATGATAAGCTTAAGAAATTGACAAGAAAATATAAGCATAAGTATGGCTCTTAATACACTAGAATACTATCAAAATGGAATGTATAAATTTCAGACCATCAGAGTAAAACTCATTTACCCAGTGGAAAATAGAAAAGGATGGGGAGGGGGGAGAAAGAAATGTGATGGTTTGTAGACATCATGAAAAAAGAAGGCTGAAATAAGTACAAATAATGGGAAAGTCAATAAATACAAATAAGTACCTGGATTAAAATAAAAATATAAATCTTAATTGAGCTAAAAAGATATAGAAATATACTGTCAACAAGAGTTAAACAGAGATAAAAAGTAACAGCAGGCTGGGCACTTTGGCTCACGCCTGTAATCCCAGCACTTTGGGAGGCCGAGGCAGGCGGATTGCCTGAGCTCAGGAGTTCAAGACCAGCCTGGGCAACATGGTGAAACCCCGTCTCTCCTAAACTACAAAAAATTAGCCAGGGGTGGCGGTGTACACCTCTAGTCCCAGCTACTTGGGAGGCTGAGACAGGAGAATTGCAAGAACCCAGGAGGCAGAGGTTGCAGTGAGCCAAGGTTGCACCACTGCACTGCAGCCTGGGCAACAAAGCGAGACTTGGTCTCAAAAANAAAAAAAAACAAAAAACAAAAACAAAAAACAAACAAACAAACAACAACAACAACAAAAAACAAAAGTAACAGCAAAGTTAAAAATACAGAGATAGAAAAATATTTAAAAATAAAAGTTATGTCAGGAAAATATGCCTCCTCAAATATGATTAATGTTAAATTATCTTTTAAGACACACGGAGCAATGTTATATACTGATAAAAGAAACAGTAGGTCAAGAAAATATAATCGTGTCCATTTATGCATCTAACAACATGGCATTTAAATATATAAAGCAGGCTGGGTATGGTGGCTCATCCTCGTATTCCCGGCACTTTGGGAGGCCGAGGTAGGTAGATCACCTGAGGTCAGGAGTTTGAGATCAGCCTGGCCAACATGGTGAAACCACATCTCTACTGAAAATAGAAAAACTAGCTGGGTGTGGTGGCATACACCTGTAGTTTCAGCTACTCAGGAGGCTGAGGCAGGAGAATTGCTTGAACCCAGGAGGCGGAGGTTACAGTGAGCTAAGATCATGCCCCTGGGCGACAGAGTGAGATTC